CCTACCGCCAACTCTTGGGCTACTGTTTTACCAACGAATAGTGGGATTGACCGTTACATTATAATGCCCCCACGGCTGAAAGGGCGAGCATGTTTGGTGTGACAGGGATTCAAACCCGCGACCCTCAGATTGCGAGTCGAGCGCCCTAACCACCTGGCCATGCTGGGCCATATATATATATATATATGAGATATGTGATATCTGTGTAACACATTAGAATTAATAACTGGATTTTGTCACACAACTTCATTTCAAATGCACGGATTTTTTCTGGTGTGTAGGTTTTCATTTTGCTACTAAGGGTGTGATATGCAAAGCACATATAGTATTTCTTATTTTCTTTAGTTTAGTACGGCAAAAGTTTGATATTCACTTTTTTTTATTTGTATTTACATGATTCTACCCATAGTAAAATGTTGGTCATGGAATGTGGCTAGATTGTTTTTGTCCTAGCTGCCTATTGTTCTAGATCATTCCATATTAGTATCAAATGCATCTTCTTGTGGAAAAGATTGCTGTGTAGTAATGTACAATATGTAAAGGAGGACAGTGAACTTTCCTGGTAGGAAAGGCTAGATTCTCACAGAAAATGGTGATTATAATGTAAAGTGTTACCTAACTTGGGGTTAAAAATAGCATAGTTCAAACCTTTAAAAATTACCATTCAAGACAAATAACAATGTAGATAGGGGCATGAAAAATTGTATTTCCCCAAAACAGTGTGTGAACAGCAACCACCTTTTAGTCTACCACCGCTGGCCGGTCTGAGATGATGCCTTGAAAACGTGTTTGTTTTTCCACGGAAAATAGCAACAGTGAAATTATTGTTTTAGTGCGCATAATATCGTACTTTTTCTCTTTATAAAGAGACAGAAAACTCAAACCTCTTTTTACCCGCGGAATAACGGCTCATAGAATGGCTTTGTGTTGTTTTTTTTTTTTAGTACAAACTTTTAGCTCATAGCTTCGTAATCTCTTGACCGATTTGAGATCTAATTACAGTTTTGGATTGTTTGTTTGTTTTGACTAGAGGTAAATCATCACCGCCAACTCTTGGGCTACTCTTTTACCAACGAATAGTGGGATTGACCGTCACATTATAACACCCACACGGCTGAAAAAGCGAGCATGTTCGAACTCCCGAACCGCAGATTGCGAGTCGAGCTCCCTAACCACCAGGCCATGCCGGGCCATTACAGTTTTAGGCTCAGGAGGTCAAACCCTTTCAACTGATGTATTTGACTACGCCCAAGGTCTCATAGATTAATTTATTCTAATCCTGTCTAAAGGAATTTCCATTTGAGGATAGACTGGTAGAAATCCTGATGAGTAATAAAATCGAATCGGATATACCTGCACCCCACGGTTTTTATTGTTAGCGCACAAAAATATAGCTAATAAAAAGGGAAAAAAGGTCTCATAGATTAATTTACTCTAATCCTGCTTAAAAGAACTTCAAGTGCCGCGGCTAGTGAGTTGTTACGTATCTGCCTCGTTTGTTTATTTTTCCGGTATAAATTTTTTCCGAGGAACTTCAGCGATACAAGTCCTTTCTTAATTAAAACTAGTTTATTCTTTCTCGATACAACTTTGTAATACACTTAACAAATTTTATAACACACTCTATAAATCACAGTGATTCACACACTTTACTTACGTTGCCTACTGTTTGCTTGACTCAATTATCTCTATCTTCAATCTATCTATTCTTTTATTTGCCGGGCTTATATACTAAAAAAGAGGACGTCCCGAACAAACTAGGAAATTCACGATCATTCGAGAAACTCCTCCCACACGCCACCAGTGCCAATGCGCCAGCACCATCACGTGACTTCTGCTGTCGTAACAGAGTGTTCCCTGGTGTTCTGTTATCTAAAAGTTCCAACTATCGTTCAGTGCATTAGTTTGCTTTTTAGTGTCCATAATATAGTAACTTTTCTCATTCTAAGACAGAATCTCTTCATAAAGAGACAGAAAATACAAACCTCTTTTTCTATTGTCTAAAATCTCCATCCATCGTCCAGTGCAATTGTTTGCTTTTGATTGTTTTTAAGGTTTGTTGAAAATAAATATTTTTTTTTGCACTTTGCCTACATTGTATCCAGTCCCTTTTCTGTTTCCATTTCAGTCACAACTATAGAAATTTAAATTTATTTTTTGTAACATTTCTTAGTTATCCTTTAGCTGTTGGGGGTTACTATTTTCATTTGAACAAGAAAAATAACTTGAAGTACCACAATTTAAGCAGTCAAAAAACTAATTCCATTGCTTCAGTTTTGTTTATTTTCAAGAGCTTTCAAAGAATGCAAACAATTTTGAAAAACCAATCGCTTTTTAAGCATTGACATTGGTCTACCAAGTATAAAAAGTTTTCAAGGTGTGTATGAACCCTGCAGGTTTATATATTTTATAAAGCATGTAGAAAATGACACAGTTTGAATTCTTCGCGAAGAGATTGTAGAATTGTAATATTCAGATACACTGCCATCCACTTAGTTAAAATTAGTCACAAGAACACAGATTCAAGCAATATTAAATCAAAGAATAAATCAAACTGAAAAGAAGTACACAAATGATCAGATAAAATTTATTCACAATAAATATGTGAGTCTGTTGTGACTTCTACTGACTGTTAGGATAGAAAGTAATCCTTTCCTATAATTTTCACATTGGACAAGGATCGAGAAAAAATTGCATCTCACGTTTGCACAGTACAAATACAGAATAGTTTTGACATACCACACTTTCCCATCAGAAACTGGTATACCAAGGAACATACATTTCCAACTATTCCAAATAACACATACAAGGAAGAAAACCTCTACTCATACCAATTTGTATAAGCAATCATGTCACTTCTGTTTCGGTGAGTGAATACACACACAGTGCCAAAGTGATACAAGCTTTTAGTCGTTGTTATATGTAACTTCACCTATTCAAAATAATTATCACTTGTTTATGACCTTTCGGCATGCATTCAATGAGAATATCAAAGACGCGTGCATGAAAAATTACTTGAATCTACATAGATTCTATACTAGTTATAGAAGAGTGCAACAGTCAATTCTAGTTACGACAGAATCAGTATTCTTGTTTGAATTTACTGTATGCTTTAGCATGTCCTTTAGTTTCAACATTATTGAATTCTATCTGTACTGAAGATCGAGTACATTATTGTGCAAATTTCTATCTTTAATGTATTGTTGCGTATCTGGTTGTTTGTTAATTTCCGGTATAAATTCTTCCCGAGGAACTTCAGCAACACAAGTCCTTTCTTAAATAAAACTAGTTTATCATTTCTCAATACAACTTTGCAATACACAGAATTTCCACAATCTCTTTTACTTAAACACACGCTATAATTCACAACGATTCACGCACTTTACTTACGGTCACTACCGCTCGCTTGACTCAATTATCTGTCTCTATATCTATCTATCTGCAATTATTTGCAGGGCTTATATACTAAAATAGAGGGCGCCTGGAAAAGACTAGAGTTGTCAGGAAAAGTCATGATCCTTCTAGAAACCCATGACGTGTTATCAGAGTCACGTGACTTCCGCTGTCGTAACAGTATAGTAAAATTAGAAACCTGTTTCTTCGTGCTAGTATTGGTTTCAAAAGTTTTTGTTATAATTAGAATTAGTAGCTTCAAATAATTTAATATGGCGCATTCTATCATTTAAATTTGCGTATAATTTAAAACACTTCCTTGTATGGAAATATTTCACATGTAAAAATATAGGTCTGTACACATACTATAATTTAATATAAAATTCATATATTCCACCACGTATTTGTCTAACACATTAAATACTATGACAGTTACCGAAGATGTATGGGCTACGCACGCGCATTTCCAACATTATCTTCTCGTTTCAACTTCCACTCGGATGGTGCAGTGTTAACAGGCTTAATATTAATAATCATTGTGGTAGAAAAGAATTGGACTTTATTGCATATTCCTCTAAATTAAACTATTGCGGATTTTGAATTAGAGCACGTGTGCAAATAGCATTTGAAATCTATTTTAAATCCGAAATGAATAATTGAGAGGAATGTGTGGGAGAGAAAAGTGTTGTTTAGTTATAATTTATAGTTATACATGTATTCACAGATTCAAGCGACAGTGCGTCTGATTTTTGGGTTATCAGACATTGAGTGTGACAGTATTATTTTTAACTAAGTGTTAGGGAAAAAAACATACCTAGCATCTTTTACATTTCCAGTGGGTTCTTTCTACATGGACAATATCCAATTGTGGTAAAGATTTAGAACAATAACTTAAAGCAAAAACGATTTATGATACAGTAAACCACATTATGATTAAATAATAAAATCCTATCACTTTCGATAGATCAGATTGTTCCGCCTTCTTAAACTTTAAATGGTATAGAGGCAGTACTTTGTTTAGTAGTTAAAGCTCAAGTAAATGTAGCCATAAAGGGGTAGATTTTTTTTTTATTGCTTGTGACATGTTCATTTATATTTTTGTAAACATTTATCCATATAACTTGTATTGCTCAAGCATCCACGTCAGTTTATGTATTCTTTGATTGTGATATTTTACATCTCCTTCAAAGGTTTGTATAGTATATAACGGATATTTTTATATATTGTTTTGTCTCAACAGGTGGAAAATCTTGTGTCAAATTTGCTGACGTTTTCACACCTCTACTGGACTAATCCTTTAACTAGTACTAACACTAGTCAATGTCGTCCAGTGATTCTTAAGAATCTTCTCCACTGATTGAGGGAGCTATTGATGAAATTGTGTAGGATTTGGATTCAGGATAGCTATGTACAGAAATGTCAAGATGATAGTATTTTGAAGTAGAAAACTATAATAATTAAGAAAAATAATTTGCAGATTTCGCTCCTTTTTAGGAATGATGTAGTTGACAGGAAAAGATCATGAGGCACATATATGTATCACACCTAAAAATATACTACAGTCATCATGAGCTCAAAAAGAAAATGGTAAATAGATATTGCAAAATCTTTATTGTAAAAGTGTTTTATCCTTGTGTTAAGTTAAACAGAAAAACTATTAACTTAAAATAAGTATTTAAAGTTCTTGTGCTATAGAAAGGACATCAATTCAACTCACTTTTCACAACTACCAACTTTTAGAAAGGCACAAATGTTCCTCAGTCTGTGTTGTACTCAAAGAAATAGATTGTGGAGTGATGTATTAGATGTGTAGAATGAAACATATTTGTTGTAGAAGTTATTTTCAGTTGTTTCTCCACTTAATATAAGTGATGATGATATTTTTTGTAGCGGTACTGGATCATTGTGTTACTTATGCATCTCATTAAAAACAAACAAATCAACAGGACTAGAATCTCCAAAAAAAGAGCTTCCCATGAATAAAAATGTCATTGAATTCATTTAGAAGTTTTCATCTTCTGTTCCAGAAGGAGTTGAAGATTTAAAAGTTGTACACGTGCTCCAGGAATAAAAATGTCATTGAAAACATCAATACAATTTAAAAGTTTTACCTAGTTTTCCAAAAGAAATTGAAGATTTAAACTTTTTAAGTGTTATTTTATAAACAACTCTTCATATACATGTACGTGCGCATGTTTGTAAAAATACAGTTCATTCAGTGATGAGTTTCGTATCTACTAGTTCTTTAAATAAAGCCACTAATATGTTTCCAGTATTTTTAAATATAATCAGTATAGGCTGTGCTGGTGCTTCTGTAAACAAGTGAGATATGGATTCCACTTACAAAATTGTATGAGTGAAAGAATTATTATTTAAAGTTCAGGCCATTTTTTTGGTGGAAATAAATTAGTACAAATGTTTGATAAAAAAGTTATGAAAGTTTCTAAAATTAATATGTACAACTGAAAGTGAAGTATTGGTTCAAGAAACCTCGAAAGATAAAGAGCCATTTTCTGACATTTGGAGTAACCAAGAGTTCATCCAACAAGAAGTTCGTATTGAATCAGAATAAAATTTGGAAGTAGGTCATCTTGCTTATTCTGAAAGTGCTGAACAAAAACTAAGAATCTGAAGTTTTTAAAACGTGTTTCACTGGAGAGATATGAGTAAAACCATGATGCTCAGTGCAAATGCTAACTTTGTAGCTTCAGAGAGCTCGACTATTTCAAGTTCCACTTCCGATGATGGAGGTTTGGAGATCCAACATTGTGATGATGATGATGATTTTGCTGCTTTTGAGTCTGCTGAATATTCATCTTCTTTGCTACCAAATTCCTCAGTTGGAACAGTGAGTATCTTTCTGTGTAGCTTTAGAGGTTGTTGTTCATATTTTTTCTGCTTTTTTATTTTTTTGTCATTATATTCAGTCATAATGATGTTCTAATGTAACTTCTATTAATACTTTGTAAGTTCTAAGAAAAAATATGGTTTATTATTCTAATACTTTCACTCAGATGGAATCACATTTGGAAACTTTTTTTCTTCTAAAACTGTGCTATTATAAATACGTAGAATCAGTCCTGAGAGCCTAGAGAACTGTTTATTCCACACTTGGAGGTCCGAGTATGAAAGTGTAAAAAAAAATTTAACAATAGATTCTTGTTTTCAATGATCCGTTACAAGCCCTTGCTAATTATTCTTATAAATCTGTGGATCCAGTCCTGAGAGCCCCATAAAACCCTTTGAAATTTTTAAAATCTGAACTTAGGTTATTATTCATAATAGCTTCTTACACGTTGGTGCCAGTATTTATATAAGTTGGACCGGCTAGAGCCATGCACCTTTAAAAACCCTTCGCTAGTCTATCACCAAAACTTTGTGTCATTTATGTTTAGAGAGGATCAACATCATACATTCACACTTTCAAGTTTTGTCAAAAACTCTGGAAACGATTTAAAACTTAAATAAACTTAGGTACACATATAGGTGCAAATGAGAATTACTATGTAACTAATAGTAACCTCTAGTTAGAGAAAGATACCTACTTAGATCAAAAATAAAAATCAACCTGGTAATGAGTATAGCTAATTAAGTTGTTATTCTTATATTTAGTGTTTTTCAAAGTGTGGGGGTGCACCACCTCAGGGAAGCACAAGTAATTAGGATAGTGTCAATAGTGAAATAATACAAAATTAAGCATTTTAATATTTTTTTTTATTAATTTTTCTGAGCTTAATTATTAACTACACCACAAAAATGTCAGTATAAAACTATTCAATTTTGGGAATTGGAATTTTCCATGCTGCAAACATTTTGTCAAAGGCTATTGTTATAGGCCTAATAGTCCTACATCAAAGTTGTACATGTGTCATCTCACAGTTTGAATTATGAGTGTTATAGGCCTAATAGTCCTACATCAAAGTTGTACATGTGTTATCTCACAGTTGGAATTATGAGCATAATTTTGATGGGAATAACTAACCTTAACAATGTTATGGAAGAAAATAGTAATAAAGAAAACATCAAAATTATACTTGTTCTTCTTTTTCACAAAAAGCAGCATTTTTATTTTATTGTCATCAGCCTGTTCCGTTTCTCATCCACAACATATGAGGTAGCACTGAACAAAAGTTCACTGTCAACACTGGTTTAGGGGAAGAAAGGATCTTCTGTGCAGCTTTAGCCAGTGTGGGAAAATAGACTTTGTATTGCAGTTTTTGTTCACTTCTTGGAAGTGTGGACTCACTCGAGTAATTGTTCCTTCCACTAGTTTCTAACTCGCTAGCACTTTCCTCCAATATTTCATCATACATTTAACACAAGGTACTGCTAGGTTTTGCTTGTCATCTGTTTGCTTTGACTTCTCTTGTGAAATGTTGTTTGGTTGTTGTGTGTTCTGTGTTGTTGCATTTATTTCTATATGTTCCAGTTGTGTCAACAAATTTGTGTAACAAGCAGCTTTGTCGTAACTATTGGTAAAGTACATGTTCTTGGATCTAGCAGGGTTGCAATGCAGTAGAGGGGTTCATTCTGACTGAATTTCACTGAACTGTGTTTCCAATAATAAGCTAAACAAAATTACTTTTTCAATAAAACAGTGTCGCTGTGTTTTACTGAAACCATCTGTTGAAGTATTAAGAACCAAATGCCAGAACACTCACTTTATATTACCGTCACTACCGCTCGCTTGACACAATTATCTGTCTCTATGTATCTGCAATTATTTGTCGGACTTATATACTAAAATAGAGGGTGCCTGGAAAAGACTAGAGTTGCCAGGAAAAGTCACGATCCTTCGAGAATCTCATGACATGTTACCCGTGTCACGTGACTTCTGCTGTCGTAACAGTAACAAGACTTTTGAACAAAGTTACAGATTCAGATAACAGAGCTAAAACTATGAAAGTCACTTTGTTGGAGACCATCTGGAATTTTTTTTTTAAAGGAAATAGGAATTTAAATGCATTATACCCAATAAATCTGTCATTATATTTGAAATCCTGAAGTGATTGAGGTCTTGTATTTATCACAAGTTTATTTTGTTGTTGTTCATTCTAGCATGTACAAGTATGTATGAAAATGAAGTGTAAGAAAGTACCAAGTTGTAATATGACCTGTTACACCTTGCCCTATGGCATCAGAAGTTTGTAACCTGTTACACCTTGCCCTATGGCATCAGAAGTTTGTGACCTGTTGCACCTTGCCCTATGGCATCAGAAGTTTATGTGACCTGTTAAACAGGTCACATAAACTTCTGATGCCATAGGGCAAGGTGTAACAGGTCACATAAACTTCTGATGCCATAGGGCAAGGTGGCACCTTGCCCTATGGCATCAGAAGTTTGTGACCTGTTGCACCTTGCCCTATGGCATCAGAAGTTTGTGATATGTTACATCTTGCCCTGTGGCATCAGAAGTTCATGTGACCTGTTACACTTTGTCCTATAGCATCAGAAGTTTGTGACCTGTTACACTTTACCCTATGGTATCAAGTTTGTGACCTGTTACATCTTGTCCTATGGCATCAGAAGTTTATGTGACCTGTTACACTTTACCCTATGGCATCAGAAGTTTATGTGACCTGTTACACCTTGCCCTATGACATCAGAATTTTTTCATTCATTTTTTAATTAATTTATTTCTGAGTGACATTTTGAATTACCAGGATTTTTTTCCAGGTTCCCTTGGTTTAGTGATTATCATTCCCCAAGTTACCTGATCCAGGTGCCCCAGAAGAACTACAACATGTGCCGAGGTATACCATATATGAGTTTATGAGATAACCCATGTTGTAATGGTTCCCCAGAGCATGGAGTCATGGGTCATATGATTCTAAGGTGGCTTATCTGTTTTGGTCATGAATAAACCAGTTTAATAACAGTTACTAGAAAATGTCCTACTGTATAGAGTTATTGTATTGCTAGGAGATGTTACTCTGTTTACTACAATGTGCACATTTTGTTATCTTGAGTAAACTCAAGACTTTTTGAAATTCACGTTTCTACAGATTTGTAGTATACATATTGTTATGTGCTGTATTAAAAAATAATAATTTTGTTATATGAATTAACCCTGTTTTCAACTTGTATTATTTAGATGTCTTCCAATGAGAAATTGAAAGAACAGTTTATTACAGCATTTCCAGGCAAAGTGTTGGAAGAACATACCATTCCAAAGTTGGGACAAGATGATCATAAAGATTTGCTCCTCGGTGATCATTCGTCAAGAGGGTAAGATATTTATATTATGTCTATTATATCTTTATCAGAGCTGAGCAGTTCAGTCAGTTACATTAATTAGTGTCACATGAACTTACTGATAAATCAAAATTAGTGTTTTTGAATATTCCAGAAATTGATTCTTTGAAATTAGGATTAAATTGATTGTCATGAAAATAATCAACTAATCAGAATTAGGTTTAAATAATCAACTAATCAGAATTAGGTTTAAATAATCAAGTAATCAGAATTAGGTTTAAATAATCAAGTAATCAGAATTAGGTTTAAATAATCAAGTAATCAGAATTAGGTTTAAATAATCAAGTAATCAGAATTAGGTTTAAATAATCAAGTAATCAGAATTAGGTTTAAATAATCAAGTAATCAGAATTAGGTTTAAATAATCAACTAATCAGAATTAGGTTTAAATAATCAACTAATCAGAATTAGGTTTTCTGATTGTTACTAATGATGATTATTACAACTATCCAAGTACTTGAAATATTGCTGTTATGTTTGTTTTGAAGCACAAAGCTACATAATTGGCTGATTTTGAAATGCTGAATGGAGGGAAAGCAACTGTCTAACAGCATCTGCCATCAGCTTTTTTTTTATTTTTGCTTACATGTACCATGGTTTGAGAAACACCATATTAATTGATTAATAAAATGTAATCAATGAATGTGGCTATTGATTAATGAATAAGGAAATATGAAATTACTCGACTCCAAAGTCATTATACAGTTTTTCTTAAGTTCAAAGAGTGTCGTTTGTTTTAGAATATGTGTGTGTAATTAATCTTTCATGTAATTAAAGATTTATTAGTATTTAATGTGTGCTTTTTAACCATTTAAAATAATGTTTACAAGTAAGTTATATGGAAGGTTGACAAAAAAGTGCATTCTGACAATTTTTGGTTAAAATATTTTCATTTGGAAAATACTGGTGATCTGTAAATTACTATTGGATATTGTTTCAGTTATATAAACATTGTGCATATACTATTTACTATTTTTGACATAAAAAAGTAATACAAAATTTATAAGCTTTTCTTAATTGAAATTATTTTTCATTGTATTAGCATTAAAATGTTAAAACAGTAAACTGAAAAAAAAAGTTAATTTGTGTTCCTTTATTGTTTGCTAATTAAAAGATTTCTTCAGTATTTTATTTTTCAGATTCCTATGAACAGTTATATTGTTTTTAATATTTTTCTCCTTTCATAAAATATTCAGTTAGCTCACAAAATGAGGTATTGAATAATAATCAACTTACACTTTAGTCTAGTGTCATCTTACTACTTGAAAATGTGATCTGAATTTATAATTTTGGCATATTGTGAGCAATTCTTCACACTTTTTCTAATGGAATAATCCAGTTCTCAAAATATATTTTTATGTTAATATTTGGGCATGAACAAAATATTTGAATCATCGTATATATCATTGGCTAGTGAATCATCATTTATATCATTGGCTGGTGAATCATCATTTATATCATTGGTATAAATGATGATTCACCAGCCAATGATATAAATAATGATTCACTAGCCAATGGTATAAATAATGATTCACTGGCCAATGATATAAATGATGATTCACTAGCCAATGATATAAATAATGATTCACTAGCCAATGATATAAATGATGATTCACTAACCAATGATATAAATGATGATTCACTGGCCAATGATATAAATGATGATTCACTGGTCATTAGCTAGTGAATCACCATTTATATCATTGGTTAGTGAATCATCATTTATATCATTGGCTGGTGAATCACCATTTATATCATTGGCTGGTGAATCATTATTTATATCATTGGCTGGTGAATCATTATTTATATCATTGGCTAGTGAATC